AGGGGGCTTAGAGAGCAATGAGAGCTCCCCAGGGGGTGATCCTCCAGCCCCCAGATGCTCTTCCTAGGTTGTCCCTCAGGAGGCCACTGACTTCCCCAACCCTAGTACCACCCTTGGAGAGGTTGGGGTGGCTATCAACAGAAGCCTGGGGAAGAACAGCTGGATGCACTAGCTTTGTGACTTTTAGCAGGTCCCTTCTGTCTGGACCTCAGTTTCCTCCTTCTGTAAAACAAGTGGGTTAGACAAGATAGCAGCAGTTTTCACACTTTTTTTTTGGGGAAGAACAGCTGGATGCACTAGCTTTGTGACTTTTAGCAGGTCCCTTCTGTCTGGACCTCAATTTCCTCCTTCTGTAAAACAAGTGGGTTAGACAAGATAGCAGCAGTTTTCACACTTTTTTTTCACTGTGAATTCTTACCCAGAACCCCTACATATAGTATGGATTATATGCAACTACTCTAGCCACATTTTCTCACCCTGGTGGCTCCTAAAACAGAGCCTGGGAATTCCTAAATAGATGATCTGTAAGTTCCCTTTCTGTGGGATTCTATGAAATTTGTTAACCCCCTAAAGTGTTGCCTAGTATTAGGGTTGTGTGCAGAAATGTGAATTCCAAGGTCTCCATTAGGAGAAATGTTGGACGTTAAGATAGGTCTCATCTGGGAATGTCTAGAGCTGATGGCCTTGCCTCTGGCCAAAAGTTGTGGCTTGTGTCCCTCACCTCTGCCATGTGGTTTCAGCTTTTCAGGGCCAGAAAGTTGCCTGTGGGTCCTTCCCTGGGTCCTAATTCCAACTCAGAGTTTCTCCACTTTATTTTCATGTTTCTAAACTGGTAAAATTCAGATTCATCTTGGGCAGGTGTTAGACAGGGCTTTAAGCTGTTGTCAGTTGTTTTACCTGATGAGGTATCTGAGCAGCTGCCTTGAGAAAGCAGACTGGGGCACTAGATTCAGGTCAACCAAATTTATGGAGTGCCTGCTGTATACTAGCTACTATAAGGGGACAGAGGTGAGAATGTCACAACCCTTGCCCTCATGGGGCTCCAAGACAGTAGGTAGGAGGGAAGGAACTCACATTTATTGGGACCATCCAGGGACCATTTAAACCATTTCACATGTTATATCATTTGCCCCATAAAGTAGATATTAGTCTCATTTTTTAATTATGTAAAAAGTTGATTGCATACAAAATAAGTACATTCCATATATACATGTAACCACTGCCCAGATCAAGAAACAACATTGCCAGGACCTCGAAGCCTACTTGAGTCCCTTTCCAGCTATACCCCGCACCCCCCCTCCATTAATAGTGGTTAATAGAGGTAACCACTATTCTGACTTCTAGCACCATAGATTAGTTTTGCCTAAACAGAATGATACAGTATGTAGTCTATTGTGTCTGGCTTCTTTCATTCAACACTGTGAGATTCCTCCATGCTATTGCAGGTAGCAGTAGTTCGTTAATTCTCATTGTTCTATAATAATTCCATTGTATGGTTATACCTCAATTTATTTACCATTCTTCTGTTGATGACCATTTAGTTGTTTCCAATTTTTAGCTATTAAATAGTGCTGCTGTGAACATTCTAACATGCACCATTTTGGAAAACATCTGCACACATTTCTCTTAGGAATGTCCATGGAAACTGCCCAACAGTTTTCCAAAGTGGTTGTGCCAGTGTGAGAATTCTTCCCCTGGCTGTGAGAATTCTAGTTGCTCCACATACTCACCAACACTAGGCATTGTCTAGGTCCATTTTCCATGGAAATGATTTAAAGCTGAGAAAAGTTATCCTGTGCTCAGCTAAGGACAATGTGCTGGTAAGGAGCAGAGCTGGGATTGGAATCCAGGCCTGTGTGACTATGGAATCTGTGTTCTCTCCCTCTGTGGTAGACACAGACATAAATTATGATACAGGATAGAATGTGATAGGGCCGGCCCGGTGGCGCACTGGATAGTGCGCCGCTTGGGAAGCCCGGCGGCACTCCCGTCCGAGGGTTCGGATCCCACGTGCAGACCGGTTCCCGCTCACTGGCTGAGCGAGGCGCGGGAGCGACGCCGAGGCTTGCGATCCCGTTGCCGGTCCCCGGTCCGGTACGGAGGCAACACTGAGGGTTGCGATCCGTTGCCGGACACGGAAAAAAGACAAAAGACAAAAAAAAAAAAGAATGTGATAAACTCCCGCCCTAAAAATATATGAAGAACACTCTTGGGGAATTTAAAGAGGGAGAGAATTTTCATCTCTGTTTAGGAGAGAAAGGATCATGGAGCTTCACAGAGATGGTAGCATTTGAGCTAGTCCTTGCAGAGGCTGCAGTTTTGCCAGGAGGGCTTTCCAGGTGGGCCACCCATGGAAAGGGCCCCGCTAGAGCCAAGGCATGGCAGGAGTGAAAATTTTGGGGGAATGGGAAAGGTCTACTTTGGCTGTAATATAGGAGATGTAGGGGGTAAGGCTGGAGGGGGCTAGGACTTGAGGCTAAATTGGTGGCTTAGTTTGTGTTTAGGAGGCTCCCTTTCCCCCATCCCTGGCCACCCAGGACGTAGAGACCACGGCAGAGACTTGCCATTTTGCTGGGGAACTGGGCTTCTTCGAATCCAGCTCAGCTCTTTATGGCTTTTCACCAAATGGAAGATCTTAGATGCTCCTGGGGCTGCTCTCAGGGTTTTTGCCCACTGAATTTTTTTTGGAATTTTCTGCTTGTATCTAGCTGTGTGAAATTAGTAACCCCGCTACCCAGGATCTGACCCGAATGGTTTATTTGGAAAGATTTTTTCAGCAAAAGGAAAATGGTAGACAGCAGTCCCACCACTATCTAGGCTGGTCTCAGGAACTTCCCCAGGATGGTGGGGGTGAAAGTGGGTCCAGCTTCCAATTCTGGTGAAGCCAGACTTGCGAGGGGGACCCCAAAACCTTTTTCTCAGAAAGGAATCAAATTGATGGTCTCAATGGCTGTGGGAAGCAGAAAGACAATGGCCTGGGATGAGTCAAATGACATTAATAATCATCCTTCTTACTTGTACAGCAGTTTATACCCTTATCACAGTGGATCCTCACATGGATGGGTGAAGTAGGTGATATAGACAGGATCACCCCTGCTGATAGGTGAGGGGACTGAGGTCCAGAGAGAGTGCCAACCTGTTGTGGGTCACAGGGCTAATACACACCCAAAGTAGTCTAGAACTGCATCTCCTGGAGCCTGCTCTTTTCAGTATTCCATGTTTGCCCGGGCCCTGGTCGAGCACAGAGTGAAGACCAAGCAGGGAGGAGGATGCAGGATGGTCAGTGGGCACTGACAGGCAGGTGACCCTGAGAGTAAGTGTGGGCTTGGAGGTCTTTAGGGATGTGTATGCCTCAACAGAAGGGAGGGAGGCAGGCGGCATCGGTGGAAGAAAGAGGGTGAAACGTATATGTCCCCTGAGAGTTAAAGCAGTTCCAGTCACTTGGTGTTGATGAGACATGCCCTTATGTAATGGTGCCTCCACGCAGCCTGGTGAAAACAGTCTTTTGGGGTTCATGGGGCCCGGGCGTGGCTGGTATCTAATTGGCAGGCAGAAGAAAAGCTGCTAGCCAAATGATCTCTGAGAGGACTTTGCTAATGACTCTTGAAAGACACATCCACAGGCAGCTGGTTTTATCTTCATGATTTACAGACTGCGCCCTGGGCTCTGCCCTAGGAGTGCTGTCCAGGTGACATATGACTGTCCCAGGAATGGGTGAGCTCCTTGGGGCAAGGCGATCCCAGAGGAGGATGCAAAGAGTCTCTTCTGATGGAGTGGTGATGTGCCCTGGGCAGGCAGAGTTAGCTCCTTTGACAGATGAAGAAACTGAAGCCTCTCTGACAACAGATGAGATCACAGAGCAGGCAAAGCTGGAACTAGCACCTCAGGCTCCTGACTCCTGGTGCCTGTTGTAATTTGTCACACCATTCCCGCCCATCTTTCCCTTCAGGTGATGCGTGAGAGTTTACAAATCGGTTCAGACTTGCAGTTGAGTGACACAACCCCTGAGGGAGCTGAGGTCATGATAATCCCTTTCCTTTCTACAGTATTTTATAGTTTATAAAATAATTTCATGACTTGGAGTTGATTTTTACATTATTGGCCCCATTTTGCAGATAAGGAAGCTAAGTCTCTGGCAGAGACTTACCCAAGCAAAACTGGGACTTGAACCTGGGACTTCTGACTCTAAAACTAGTGCTTTTTTTTTTTTTTTTTTAACTGCAGCATAGCTGCCTCTTTTCTCAGTAGATCTGAATTTAATGAGAACAAATAGCTGAAGCTCGCCATGAATCTGATTCCTTGAACTTCTTCAGACTGATCTGAAGAAGTGAGGTGAGCTCTTTTTCTATCTCCTTAACAAATTTGAATTATATAAATCAAATAAGAACCGTACATTGTCAGCCACAGGTGAGAAAAGGCTTGAGCAGGGCAGTTATTGAGGAACCAGAACTGTTATTATTGTTTAATTATTAGCTCTTGTATCAGTCTGTTTTTGTGTTGCTATAACAGAATACCTGAGACTGGGTAACTTATAAAGAACAGAGGTTTATTTGGCTCATGATTCTGGGACAGCTGCATCTGGCATGGGCCTCAAGCTGCTTGTACTCATGGTGGAAAGCAGCAGGCAGCTGGCGGGTACAAGCAGATCACATGGCGAGAGGAAGCAGGAGAGAGAGAGAGAGGAGGTGCCAGAGTCATTTAAACAACCAGCTCTTGTGGGAACTAACAGAGCGAGAACTCACTCACTACCACCACCCATCAGGGAGAGCATTAATCCATTCATGAGGGATCCACCCCCATGACTCAAACAGCTCCCAACACTGCCACATTAGGGATCAGATTTCCACATGAGTTTTGGGGGGACAATAACATTCAAACTCTTTCAGCTCCCTTTGAGCCTGTTACTTTTAGGCCTCAGACTGTTTGGTTTGTGCTAATTTGCATGGCTGTCTTAACCTCAGGTTTCTTCCCATGTCAGGGTTGTATGGTCCAGGCCTCAATGAGGAGCCCAAACATGGAGACGTTCAAGCAGCAGAAGGTGGAGGATTTTTATGACATCGGAGAGGAGCTGGGGAGGTAAGAGATGCTGAGAGGCTGAGGGGTCTGGGAGATGGAGCCCAAGTTACACTTCTCTTGGTGCAGTTGTCAGTTGGTATCATAAGGCATGGGCTTGTTACAGGACTCGTGAGAAGCTTTAAAAACAAGCCTGAGATTTATCATCTTCTTGGGCAACTCTGCAAGCAGTCATCTCTTGCCAGTAGACTTGCCAGTAGAAGGGGCTATAATTGTTGAGTTCTGTGTTTTCAGTTTAACCCAGCTGACAGTTATGGCAAATCTTAATGATTCCTGTTTTAACTTACTTTTTTCACAAAGCCCTCCCCAGGCTCTGGATGACCACCTCAACTGTTGATTTTCTTCTCTGAGTCCCATTTGGGATTCTCCATGGTTGTTTGGATTTTGTTTTTTAAGCTCAGGGCCTGAATGGGAGGTGAAGTAATCCTCCCTGAAAACAGATTTGCACTGTTACCAGCCACACGAGCCTCATCATGAAGTTTTCCTGGGATCTGAGTTATTGTGTATATTTTCAGGTTCGCTAAACCCAGAACACAGCAAGGAGTAAACTCTGAGATCTGAAAGTAGTTACTGTTTGGAGAGAAATTAAGATTTTCTAAAGCTCTCTTCTTACCTCCCATTTCTAACAAGGGCTAATATATAGAAGGTGTCTTAGTGATTACAGAACACCAGTTCTGAAGTTTAAGTCTCACAACAGATGTGAAATAGGAGTTATTTTTGCTCTCATTTTCCAGATGAGGAAAGCGTGGTCCTGAGTTTAAGCAAGTTGCCCAAAGTTGCGAGCAAGCAAGTTGCCCAAAGTTGTGAGCCAGCAAGTGACATAGCCAGGGTTCTGTCCAATCCAGTTTGTACCTGCACACCCATCATGCTGTCCCCTGTGAGCATGGCACTTACACACTCATCTGTGCCCACCAGAACACCCAGCCCCCCCTTTACACACCCAGCAGAGTAAAAACCTGAGAGTTTAGGGTGTCCACTGTACTCAACAGGAAAACAGGAGTCCTTTTCCCTGTATAGAACTCTTGGGTAAGGACTAATTCCCTTTCTTTTATTTTTAAAGACAAAACAGAAAGATCTTCAAAGCCAGAGGAGCCTCATTCCAAGGAGAATGGGAGGTGGCAGGTGCTTCAGCTGTAGACAGCTCAGAGGGGGATGACTGTTCCCAATTTGGGGCCTGGTGAAGGCGTGGGAGGACAGAGGGGCTGAGGCTGGGGGGTCTCTCAGCTAGAGTCTGCCTCTGAATGGGAAGCCAGGTTCTCTTTGCCCCAGGTTCTTCTCCTACCACCAGTGACACCTGCAGAAAAGTGGCATCCCCAGCAATAGACCATGGTGGGCCCTGCCAATGGCATTTGATTTGATGGCCTCACCTTGGCCATGTCCTATGTGTAGGAGTCTGTGCTAAGTGCTGTTGGTACAAAGATGAGCAAGACACAGTTGGTCTCTGTCTTCCTGTAGCACCAACCTGGCAGGGGGGTGGAGAGGGATTAGCAGCTGGGTGGGCAGAGAAGCTGAGATGTTAGGGTGGGGTGTGTAGGGGTCTGTGCTAAGTGCTGTTGGTACAAAGATGAGCAAGACACAGTTGGTCTCTGTCTTCCTGGAGCAACAACCAGGCAGGGGGGTGGAGAGGGATTAGCAGCTGGGTGGGCAGAGAAGCTGAGATGTTAGGGTGGGTCAGGGACTCTGAAGAAGGAAGTAGAAGCAGTTTCCTGGGGAATTAATTTATTATCCCTTCTTAGTCTTATATCTCCCCCACTCCACACATCTAGGACATGAGTATTAGAAGTGGAAGAGACCTCATGTATTTTGGTTCTCCACCTGTAACAGGGTGTGAAGGTCCATGTACCTCATAGCCTAGGGAGTCTTGGATTGACTCCCCTCCCCCACCTTTCTAAAGTGTGAACTGGGCAAAAGGTGAGTGTATAATCTGTTCCTGTTGCTTATAACAAAATATTTGAACTGGGTAATTCATAAAGAAAATGAAATTTGTTGCTTACAGTCTCTGAGGATGGTAAGTCCAAAGTCCAGGGAACACATCTGGCGAATGTCTTGGTGGTGAGACAGTGACCCAGGGGTCTCACAAGGCAGAAATGGCAGAGAAGAGAGAGAAATATCTCCTCTTGCATTCCCCTTTTAAAGCCCTCAGAACCACCATTTTTTAATCCATTCACTAGGCATGGTCCTCAGAATTTAATCACCTCTTCAAGGCCCCACCTTGCAATTACCATGATAGGATTTCCCACCCTCTTAACAGTTACAGTGGGGATTAACTTTTGGGGGCCAGCATTATGCCCCTGGCTTCCCAAAACTCATGTCCTTTTTACATACAAATACATTCACTTCATCCCCAAAGTCTTAACTTGTTTCATTCAAAAGTCCAAAGTTCAAAGTCCCATCTGTGAATTTAAAACAAGTTATTTACTTCCAGGATACAATGGTGGTACAAATATAGGGTATATATTCACATTCAAAAGGGAGAAATAGGCCAAAAGAAAGATGTAATAAGTCCCAAACAAGTCCAAAACCCAGCAGGGCAGGTATTAAATCTCCAAGCTGGTGAATCACTATGTTGACTCCATGTTCGACATCCTCTGCACACTGGTGTGGGGGTTGGGTCCCCAAGTCCTTGGGCAGTTCCGCTCCTATGGCTTTCCTGTTCTCAGGCCACACTTCAGCACTCCAAGGCTGGCATTCCACTCTGGTAGCTCTACAGGTCTGGGGTCTCCATGATGGTCCCACTCTCATAGCTCCACTAGGAATGGCTCTGATGGGGTTTCTCTGCTCCAGCTCCAGCCCCACATTTCTGCTCAGCATCGCTCTAGTGAAGACTCTGTGGTGCATTCACCCCTGTGACAGATCTCTTCCTGGGACCCCAGGCTGTTCTATAAATCCTTTGAAATCATGGTAGAGGCTCCCAAGCCTCCCAGCTCTAGTATTCTGTGAGCCTGTAAACTTAATACCACGTGGATGCTGCCAAGGTTTCAAGTTTATATCTTTCAAAGCTGTGAGTCCAGCCACACCTGGGACCAATTTAGCCACAGCTAGAGCAGCAAAGCAGCCAAAGCAGCTGGGGTGCTGGTGTGGGCAGCAGCATCCCAAGGCGGCCCTGGGCAGTGAGCTCATGAAGGGCCCCTCAGGCCTGTTCCACAAGACTATTCTGTCTCCCTAGGCCTCTTGACCTGGAATAGAAGATGCAGCATCCAAGATCTCTGAAATGCCTTCAACATCTTTTTTCCTTTCTCTTCATAACCCCTTTCTTCTATACTGATCTCCTTAGCAATGATTGCTGGGCTGTGCCAATGCATTTTTCCCCTGAAAATGCCCTCTGCTTCTCTACCACATGGCCAGGCTGCAAATTTTGTGAGTCTTTATGCTCGACTTCTCTTTTATTTATTTATTTTATTTTTTATTTTTTTTCCTTTTTGTCTTTTTTCGTGACCGGTAACGGGATCGCAACCCTCAGTGTCGTGCCCGTACCGCGACCGGCAACGGGATCGCAACCCTTGGCGTCGCACCCGCACCGCGCTCAACCAGCGAGCGGACTGGTCTCTATATGGGATCCGAACCCTCGGTGGGAGCGCCACTGTGCTCCCAAGCGCTGCACTCTACCGAGTGTGCCACTGGGCCGGCCCTCGGCTTCTCTTTTAAATTCAGGCTTTACAACATGCCTTTGCAGCCATAACTCAGTGTAGTCTGTTACAAGTAGCCATGCAGCTTCCTGAATGTTTTTCTGCTTAGAAATTTCTTCCGCCAAATTCCGTGGGTCAGCACCTTTAAGTTCCACATCCCATAATACTTTGGGGCATGAAGAGAATGTAGCCAAATTCCTTGCCAGTTCATAGCAAGGGTAATCTTTGCCTCAGTTTCCAATAAGTCCCTTCTCATTTACATCTGAGATCTTCTCAGAATGGCCTTTACTGTCCATATTTCTATCAGCATTCTGCTCACCACCATTTAACCAGTCTCTAAGAAATTCCAAACTTTCTCTGTTTTTCTTGTCTTCTAAACTCCCACCAGCAGCTAGGCTTTTTCTAGCTTTTTCCTTCAAATTCTTCCAGCCTGTCCTCAACTCCCAGTTCCAAAGCCACTTCTACATTTCCAAGTATTTGTTATGAACAACACCCCACTCCTGGTACCAGTTTTTTGTATTAGACCATTTCTGTTGCTTATAACAAAATACTTGAACTGGGTAATTTGTAAAGAAAACAAAATTTATTGTTTACAGTTTCTGAAGGAAGTCCAAAGTCCAGGGAACACATCTGGTTAGGGTCTTGATGGTGGAACAGTGACCCAGTGGTCACACATGGCAGAAATGGCAGAGCAGAGAGAGAGATAGTTCCTCATGCACTCTGCTTTTAAAGCCCTCAGAACCATGCCCATGACCACCATTTTTAATTCATTCACTAGGCATGGTCCTCAGAATTTAATCATCTCTTCAAGGCCCCACCTTGCAATTACCATAATAGGATTTCCCACCCTCTTAACAGTCACAGGGGGATTAACTTTTGGGGGGACATCAACCCAAGGCAATGGGTAAGAAGCAGTAGGGCCTGGGGGCCTGCGGCCTTTGGAGTGGCCAGACATCCTAGGATTTGTGATCTTGAGGTCAGATGAACTGGAAGGACTTTATTTTTATTTTATTTATTAAAAAAAAAAAAAGATGAGTGGTAAGGGGATCTTAACCCTTGACTTGGTGTTGTCAGCACCATGCTCAGCCAGTGAGCTAACCGGCCATCCCTATATGGGATCCAAACCCGGGGCCTTGGTGTTATCAGCACCACACTCTCCCGAGTGAGCCACGGGCCGGCCCTGGAAGGACTTTAGAAGTCCTCTCTTCCACCCCCTTTTTTTTCAGTTGAGGAAACTGAGGCTTCCTGGGGGATGGATCTTGCCTGGAGCCATGGAAGAGGCTGGAACTAGAGCTGCCCTCAGGTGACCACTCAGATTCTGAAGAGACAGTCCTCTCCTTCCCTCCTTTTCTTCACTAACATTATTTAGGATCTACT